ATCACACGTAAAGTTTCCAACTTTACGTGTAGATATTCACCAATATGGATTTTAAGGCTCAAAGTGCACCAAAAGAGGTAGATCTAGGGCTTTCATGCAATATGACCCCATAAAGGCATTAGATCCAAGTTCCAGGGACTAAATCATGCCTAGATCTAAAGGCTAACAACTTATTACAACCCACAAAGCACAAACAAGCTTGGGGAAGAGCCCAAGAAGGACTCCTATGAAGCTAAAAGAGATTACAAGCTTGAAAACAGAGGGGAAACGAGCTATACCTCAAGGAAAACGTTGGGATGACACAAAGATGCCTGGTCTCCTTCTCCTCTTCTTGATCTACTCTTCTTTCTCCTCAAAATCTTCAAGAACACTCCAAAAACACTTCAATCTCTCAAGGAAATAAGGGAAAAGCGATGTTGGGAGTTCTGGGGGTGAATGGGGACGGGGTTGGGGCGGAATGAGGGTTTAAATAGGGTGCAAACCCTTGAAATTTAGGGTTTCATCCAGCAGCGGTGACTCGCCGAGTCCGGGATATGGACTCGCCGAGTCGCCAATTTAAACGCGTCCTGAGTCTCGTCCCTACTCGGCGAGTCGGACCTTATGACTCGCCGAGTCCAAGGCAAAAATAGGAAAATGCTCAAGTAAAATTCACATACCGGAAACCAGGTGCTACAGTTATAGTGTTTAGTCCTTGAATCGTCGAGTTCTTCTTAAACTCATCGAGTTCTTCTTCATATAATTAGGATAATGCATTGAACTCGCCGAGTTCATCCTTGAACTCATTGAGTACGTTGATCTTCAGGTCCATAATCACATTCATCTTGTTGAGTCCCCTCCTAGACTCCACCAGATTCCTCAGAAACAGAAAAGGTTGGGGAACCAATACCCAACTCGCCGAGTCCTATAAACAACTCGGCGAGTACCCCAAGCTCCAAGTCCTTACAGTAGTTTCAATTGAGCTCATTGCATCCAAGGTGTAGATCTGACCTCCTAGGGTCGATTTAACACGTAAAGTCACGAACTTTATGTCCATACATGGGTCTTCATGCCCAAAAGGTCCAAAATGGAGTCTACAAGATGCATGGGGCTCTTATGGCAATAAAGTTCGCACCTTTATGCCATGAAAACCCTCCTAGGTTCAAGATATGAAGTCATTACTCTATATTACATTCTAAACCCGAAGGTGACTTAGAAATGCCCCAAAAATGACAAGATTCAAGCCCTAAAGAGGATCTTACAGATGGAAGTCAAGGTTGAATCTTTTTACCTTGAATGAGCTAGAAATGAAGCAAAACCTCTGGATCTACTTGCTTCTTCTGGAACCCTCAAGTTTCCACTTCTTTCTTCAAGCATCAAACAAACAAAAACAAACAAAAATGGTTCAAGGACACTCCAAATGCTTTACGGTTTCGAGTTAGGGCTTTCCTGGACTGTGAGAGACGATGGAGGCTGAAATGGGACAAGTTAAGGCATTTCCATAGGGTGTAAACCCCAAATATTAAGGTTTCATCCAGGCAGTCCTACTCGTCGAGTCAGGTTCCCGATTTGTCGAGTAGCTTACTTAAAATCCGCATCCAAAATCCAGTCTACTCGACAAGTTGGGCCACCAACTCATCGAGTCCCAGTGTAAAAAATGCAATTACTTAAATTGAAAATACGTATCGAGAACCGGGTGTTACAACTATTTTAGAAATGAAGTCCTTAGTTATTGCATTTGATCGTTTAGTGAAGATAACATAACCTTGTTAACGTGCCACATTTTGCACCCAAGTCATTAAATCTCCACGAGATTTGAAGACCTAACAATTGCGAAAAAAAAAACTCATCTTAAAAAACATCAATAAAATACATCATTTAATTATACATAAGTAAATAATAAGATTAGATATATACTTGGTCCGTTGAAAATTCTAAAATATTCTCCATTTTTCTCCTACAAAAAAAATAATAATAAATAAAAATTTTGATTAATAACCTATTTTTTTTGTTATAAAATAGCCCATTAGAAATTAATAAAAATCTCAAGTCCACTAGAGAAAATTATTAATATTAGAAACCAAAATCTTAGTCCAAATTCAACCCAAGACCCTAGTGCAATACCAACGCATTATATATATATATATATATATATATATATATATATATATATATATATATATATATATATATATATATATATATATATATATATATATATATCCGTGTTGTAAATATCGGCCTAGGTGGCCGCCTAGGCGTTAGGCAGTTGCAACTGATTACGATTAGGAGTGCTTGATAGATATTGGGCAATATCGGTCATACTCGGGCTAGGCAGTCCTTGGCGGGAAGATTTTAAAGAATTAAAAATTTCAAAATTTCAAACATTACACCAAAATTTACAAAACTTCAAAATTTTAAATTTTTAAATATTCAAATTTGCAAATATTATACCAAATATTTCAAAATTTCAAAATTTAAAAATTTGAAATTTTCAAATACTATTTTTTTCTTAGGATATATTAAGTTTAAAATAATTTTATTAGTAATTTATGGTCCCCGATTAATCCCCGCCAAACCAATTAATCGCTTGACCCCAGTCGACCGCCGAGCTACCGCTGAGTGATTTTTACAACCTTTATATATATATATATATATATATATATATATATATATATATATATATATATATATATATATATATATATATATACACACACTAGCTGCCTACCCGCGCAGAGCGGCGGGCGGCGAATAAAAAATATGTTAAAACATTTTCAACGATGGTATGTAATTCAAGGATTTATATTGATTTAGGTTCTCGAAACCTTAAAATATTAAACAAAATCTATATAGAACCTTATAATAAGGACAATAATCACCATAATCAGAAAGTCCATGTGATGAAACTTGATATTATAAGGACCAATGATGAAAAATGTTTCATTTTTAGACTAAACAAGATAAAAAATATACAAACTACCTTAATCATGTCAAATCTTGTATTTAGTCGTTCTTTATTGAAAAAGTAAGATATCAAAATATACAAACTAATGATAATACAATGCTCTAACTAGCTCTCTTGGTTGAATTCTTTGAACCTATAAAGCCAATACATTAAAGAAACATAGTAAAAACCTTTTTAGGAACAAATTAGATATAATAAAGCCTTCACCAAATATATTTATAAGATAAAAATACAAATGTTAAAAATGATGAAATCAATTGCAAGTAAGGATTAAAATAAAAACCTGTTAAGAAAGAGCCATCTGCAGTAGGGATATTTGAATCAGCATGTATTTTCTGATGGTTTTAAATTTTGAATTATCCGAAATTCAGAGAATTTGATAGAATTTGTTGAGAAATATAAGGATTCAAAACACATGTTAAAATTTAATATTATTTTATTGATAACTACTTGTACTATTAGCCTAATGATTTGAACGTATTAAAAAAAATAATATTATTATATTCAATCTAGTTTTAGAAATAGTGGAATTTTTTTTATAAAATAGTGTGTATATATATATATATATATATATATATATATATATATATATATATATATATATATATATATATATATATATATATATATATATATAAGCTTAGGTACCTAACCTAATCAAACTACGTCATTTTGCATTAAATTTTCATTGCAATCATCCAAGGTTATTAAACTTCATCCCTAAACTTGATTTACTTCAAAATTTTTTGGATATTCATCATTATATTTCTCCTATATCCTTTCATTTGTAGCGGTAGGATATGAAGCCTATAAGTGGTATTCGATAGAAAGACGTGATGTAAAAGAAAGATATTGTTGAAAATCCAAAGATTTTGGAAGTAATCAAGTTATGGGGTTGAAGTTTAAGAACCTTAGGCAATTAGAATGTAAATATGATACAACCGATGTAGCATTATGGAGTTAGGTAGCTAAGCTTATATAAGATTGTTAGGTATATTCACTTTACCCATATATATATATATATATATATATATATATATATATATATATATATATATATATATATATATATATATATATATATATATATATATATATATAGTTTTCTCACAAATCAGTTTCTATATCACGTATCCCTATTCTATGATCCATCTCCCCGGATTTTTGATTCAGCTGGCGATCATGTCGCCGCCGTAAAATGTGGCATGTTTCTCTCTCTCTCTCTCTCTCTCTCTCTCTCTCTCTCGATGGAGCATTGTCGCCAGCAAGCCTGATAACTCAAATTATTTTTTCCGTCGGAGCACTGCCACCGCTAACTAGCCTCCGTCGAAGACCCAAATTGTTTTTTTTTTTTTTTTTTTTTTTTTTTTTTTTTTGTGTGACTCTATTGACGGGTGACTTTATTACCGCCACCGTCATCAGATGGCAGCCTCCGACGAACAACATATAAATGAAGATACGAAGTTGGAAAGAGTGAACTTACCGTTTTCCGACAAACAACGACTCCGACGACTATTTTCCGACGAACATGTTTTGTTTTCCAACGTATTAAGTTTACTGATTTTTTTTTTTAATTTTTTTTATTTTTTTTATTTATAAGTTTACTGTATTAAACTTGTATTAAGTTACTGATTAAGTAAACAAACTTGTAAACAATATAAATTTAATTAGTTGTGGTTTTTTGTGTTTTAATTCATTGGAAAATAGAAAATTAAGTATGAAAAACTGTGATAGCTTTCTTAAAAATACAGTCAAAAAGCCAATAAAAAATAGTAAAACCCTCCAAATGAAAAAGAGACACGGTGGAGTGTAAAATTAATAAATGTATTTCTTTTACCTTTTTATAATTATAAAAGTTAAAATTATTACGCGTTGTCATCAATTGAGAATAGTTTTAAATGCTTGTAAGTGTGAACAAGACAAAACTTGTACAAATTTCTAACCCGTTAAATCACGTATTTATTGTAGATAAAATCCTCACCAGATGGACATCGTAAGAGTCAAAAGTCTTTTAATATCCATAGTCAATTTGTTTGGTAAGATGATGTTGTCAACAAAAGAAAATGCGTATATAAATTTTACATGGTTTTGATCATGAACATTTAAGGTTTAAACCATTGGTTTGTTAATTAACGTACTATGCCTCAGGTAATTTCCATTTCGTTGCACATCCCCCTACCTTATGCGTTTTTTTTAGAACAGCTGCATCCCCTTCTCTGCTAGACTACGTAGTATTTTTCTAACCCACCAACTTAGTTATTCTTTTATACGCATGCACAAACGCAGGAGATAAAGGTGAAAGTTAGCATGCATTCTCAAAAATGCAGGAAGGAGGTAATGAAGACTGTCACTAAATTATCTGGTGTTGATGAGGTATCGGTGGATTTACAGAAGGAGATGTTAGTTGTGATTGGGGATGTTGACCCTGTTTGCGTCGCATCTAGCTTGAGAAAGAAACGGAAGGTTGCTAATATTGTAAGTGTTGGACCATACAAAAAGAAGGGGAAGGAAGTCAATAAACCAGCTGTTGGATTTCCAATGATGTATTGTAACACTCCTTGTACTTATGATGGATATGGACATTTTGTATATGGGTATCCGCCAACCCGTGATGCTGGAGGTTGCAACATTCAGTAGATAATCAGATGTATATGGTTTATGTATTAAAAGCTTTTTATTATACACTTTGGAGGTCAAATCATAAGAAAAAAAAATCCTGAAGTTCAAATAATTTGGGAAAATGACTGAAAAACCTAACGAAGTTTCCAAAGCATTCAAAAAACCCCAATCATGTTTTGTGTGTTCAAAAAAACCCAACGAACTTAACCTTTTGTCTAAAAAGTCCAACAAAGTTTCAAACCGTTCAGAAAATTCCAATTTTGTTTTGTTTAAGTTCGTTGGGTTTTTTTTGAACAATCAAAACATGATTGGAGTTTTTTAAACGTTTTAGAAACTTCGTTGGTCTAACAAGTCATTTTTCCGATACGGTAATAAGCCACGTCATCTGTTTTTCTTATTTGACTTTCGAGAAAGTGTAACTTAGTTGGGCTTTTTAGATAAAATGTTAAGTTTGTTGGGTTTTTTTGAACAGACAAAACATGATTGGGGTTTTTTAAACGGTTTGGAAACTTCGTTGGGCTTTTAAGTCATTTTCCCAAATAATTTCAGTGAAGTTTTTGTAATAAAGAAAGAAATAATTACCATGAAAAACAACCCAAGCAAAGAGCTAGGAGTGAAAAAACATCAGACTAGTTTCAAACGTTTGATATGAGATTTTTACACCAATTGTATGCCAATCTAAGACGACATTTGTTTCTACTATTTATATCCATAACAAAGAGAAACGTCGCGTACACCTTCTTGGCAAATCGTAGCAGGTACTAATAAGAACATCGAAATATGACTAAGAAACGAGAGACGACAATAAGAAACAAGAAAGGCAAACATCAAATTATGCGACAGTCGTGGAAAATATTACTAAGAAAACGAGAGACGACACTAAGTCAAGTTCCAACCAATCATCAGTAAGTCAAGTCTCTAGGAATCATCCAATTTTTTTTTTATATAGTTTCTATGTATACATCGATAGGATTTTATAATGATCAGAGTTGGATTAAGACATGAGTTGACTTGGTAAATAAATAGTTTAATCAATTGGGTCTTAAAGAATTGAGTTGGTTGAGAATCAACTTCAGTGATAACCATGATATTCAACCAGCGATGCACACGACTATATATTTTAAAAAAGATATTTTTTGCATGATCTCATACCTGTTTTTTTTTGGAATGTAAGAAGGGGAAATCAACTTTAGTGATAACCATGATATTCAACCAGCGAGAAGATAGAGTCACAGGAATTTCATATAATTGCTCGTCAATACATGACCATTTCATCCCTTCACTACAAGAATATCAGAATATAGATCTTTAGTGGTGATGGGCATCACCGCTAAAGGTCACCACCAATGCTTCAATGGTCGCCACTATTGATTTCTGTCACCGTTAAAAGGTGTCTCGCCACTAAGGCTCTTTATTGCGTGGTGATGCTTCATCGCCACTAGTACTTCGTAGCCACTAAAGGTGTCGCAACTAATTCTAGCATTAACTTTCTTTTAGTTTTTTTTATTATTTTACATTAAAATGGTAGAAAAACTTTAAAAATTGCTAGGAAATATTAATTGCAGAAAAATAGATCAAAACATTAAAGTTTAATAATACAATCTCGCAAAGTATTAATCCAAACATTTAGTGCAAGTTATGTTTTAATTCTAACAAAACATTACATAAATCCTACAAGTAGCTACATATCATCATCATTCCTATTGTTTCCTCCGATATCATTCTATGGTGGCAACCATCGAAATCATTCTTCAAGTGTCGCAATACATGTCCTGTAACATCCCAAATTTCAAGCCTGAAAATTTCATTTTTGAATTAATAATTTATAAAACATTTTACCATAACATTGTCATTAAAGTAACATATTACAAAATCATAATGTTGTGTCCCAACCCATGACATCAAAAGTAATGAAAATTAGAGTACAATCCCAAAAAGTCCGATGCAGAATTATGTGTGTGTGTGATGCGATGCTCTGCCGCCGACTCCTTCCCCTTAGATGAAGAGGTACCTGAAACCAAAACTGAAACCGTAAGCACAAAGTTTAGTGAGTTCCCCCATCATACTATATACCATACAATGTCGTCGGTATTTTTCAACCGGTAGCTTCCATCGGTATCTTTCAACCGGTAATCATCATCGGTATCTTTCAAGATAATCATCGTTGGTATCTTTCAACCGGTAATCATCATCGATATCTTTCAACCGATAATCATCATCAGTATCTTTCAACCGGTAACTGTCATCAGTATCTTTCAACCGGTAACTGAGGACTATTCCACCCCCTACCACTAGCATCCTACATCAAGATATAAATATACAGTTAGGCATATCCGGGTACTAACCTACCCTTCGGTCCTAAGGACCACTGTCAGGGAAGCTGATCCCTACTATACACATAATATATCATACAGATAAATCTCATGACCAAAGCACATAATCGAACCAAGATAATGATCACAAAGACAATCATCTTCTAAATACCCCTCTTTGGTGGGTCGACATTGTGGCCTTAGACCCACCCCTACTGGAAGGTAACTTACATCAATGTCGTGCAATGTTTGAACTATCCTCGGCATACAAGTCGACTCCCTTCGACTCTTCGATCCCTACACGACAACCTTCAAGTCAACACACAGAACGTGCAACCCTAAACAGGGTAGATCAAGTCCAATCAAAGTCAACTTCAAGTTGACCCGACTCACCGAGTTGGGTCGTCAACTCGTCGAGTCCCTAACCTTTTACACGTCCTTATCCATGACTCGACTCGTCGACTTTGGCAACAAATCGACGAGTTCCTCTTCTTTACGAGCATGGAATGAACCTTCATCCGACTCGTTGAGTTCACCTTCATCTGATGAACAAGTCCTAACCTTGACTCGCCGGGTTGTATGAACAACTCGTCGAGTTCATCTTCAACCATAAGAAGATTTCCTTGGACTCGCCAAGTCTGTTCTAGCACTCGTCGAGTCCCATGAACTCCAGGTCTAAAACTAAGTCGAATGCGTTGGGTCACTCCTTTTGACCTGCTACAACCCTTCTAACACCCAACTGAGCTCTTTTGGCCCTCAACAGATATGGGACTAAATGCCTTGGACTTGTCGAGCCCCAAGAATGGACTCGCCGAGTCGATAATGTCAACACCCTAAATCCTCGATTTCTGATGTACAAAACTTGTCCAAATGATAGATCCAAGCCCCTAAGCTCGATCTAGCACGTAAAGTTACGAACTTTACGTGCATGCATGGGACTTTTTAGCCAAAAAGGCTCTAAAATGGCTCTTTTGTTGCATGGGACCTTCCTTGGGTGCAAAAGGAACCCAAATCTGCCTTGTTACTATTCCCAAGTGCTAGATCCGAAGTCTTGACCCCCAACCATGTTTGCTAATCATGGTTGGTCACCTCATATGGCTTAAAAGCCCTAAATCTTCCCCAAAAAGGGATCTAACAAACAAGCAAGCAAGGTATAGACTTTATACCTTTCAAAGACTACAAATGATGAACCAAACTCGAATCCTTCAGTCTCCTCTTGATCCTTCTATGCTCTTCCTTCTTCCTTGAGGTCAAAACCCACAAAAATCACTCAAAAGCCTTAGCTCTTGCACCAAAACACTTAGGGTTTGATATGGAGGGTCTTTGGGAGCAATATGGACGAATGGTGGCCGGAAGAGATGATTAAATAGGGTGCAAACCCTCATATTAGGGATTTTGTCCAGTTAGAGCCTACTCGACGAGACCGTCACTTAAGTCACGTCCAAACCCGCTCCTACTTGATGAGTTGGGCCTTCAACTTGCCGAGTCCCAGGCAGAAATTGCAAATACATTAAATAAAATACATACCATTAACTGGGTGCTACAAATCTCCCCTACTTATTTCAGACTTCGTCCACAAAGTCTGTTGCTTGTTCCTGGAAAAGTTCTGGGTAATGCTCCATCATCTCATCCACTGGCTCCCATGTCGACTTCGGGCCCTTCCGGTGCTGCCATTGCACCTTCACTAGCTCCACCCTTTTGTTCCTCAGATCCTTTGACTTCTTGTTGAGGGTCGCCACTGTCCGCTCAATGTAACTCAGGCTGTCATCGACCTAAATATCCTCTAAGCATACCACTGTTGAGTTGTCCACCACGTACTTCCTCAGCTGGGAGGCATGGAAAGTGCTGTGGATCTGGATGAGTTTGGTTGGCAGATCCAACCTATACGCCACCTTTCCCACTCTGGCTAAGACCCTAAATGGTCCAATGTACTTGGGGCCCAACTTTCCCTGTTTCCTGAATCCGATGATGCCCTTCCATGGCGACACCCTCAGAAGAACCATATCCCCGACATGGAACTCCAGGTCTAATCAACGCTTATTGGCATAACTTTTCTGCTGGCTTTGAGCAGTCTGAAGCCTGCTCCAGACTTGTTGAATCCTCTCCGTCGTCTTGAGCACCACCTCGGTGCTCCCCAATGACCCTCTGGCCAAGTTCGCCCCAGCATATCGGGGTCCTGCACTTCCTCCCGTATAATATCTCGAAGGGAAAATGATCGATACTCGCATGATAGTTGTTGTTGTACGAGAATTCAACCAATGGAAGGTAAGTATCCCAACTACCTCCAAAGTCTAAGACACACGTCCGCAACATGTCCTCCAAAGTCTAGATGGTTCGCTCACTCTGACCATATGTCTGCGGGTGGAAGGCGGTGCTAAAATGCAGATGAGTACCCAGCGCGTCATGAAACTTCTTCCAAAACCTGGAAGTGAACCGAACATATCTGTCTGAAATCATCGACACTGGCACCCCGTGCCGTACCGCCACCTCCCTGATATAGTTTTCGGCCAATTTTTCGGCCAAAATGCTCTCCTGAATCTGAATAAGGTGGGTGCTCTTGGTCAATCAATCGACGATGACCTAGATCGAATCCACTCCTCACATGTCTGAAATCATCGACACTGGCACCCCGTGCCGTACCGCCACCTCCCTGATATAGTTTTCGGCCAATTTTTTTTTTCATTTGATTCTCGCATTCCCTGGTGAATTCAGGTCCTCGCTTGACGTTCCAACGGGCCTTCAATATGGGTATGCGGTTTTGTTTCGTCCTTTT